CCACTCTTGACCTTCCCTAGTAATTCCATTTTCGTTTTTTCCTCCAATGACAAACTTTTAAGGGCAGCATTACAGTTTCATGGATGATTGGCAGTGCTCCGCAGGCTGCTTGCCCAGAGGGAGGTCGGATCACGCCTGAACAAACAACTGCCCTCTCAAGTCCGTGGGCAGCTTTAGGACAACTGGTTCCCTTAGACAATAGAAGATTGTAGAATAACAGATTTTGGCTAAACTGGACCTAGAGGGATGGGGAGGGGTTAACTGAAGGCGTGTCGTAATTACACTTTATGAATTAAAGATGACATTGATCAATACTTCATTGATATTTAAAGCCTTCCTAATATTTGCCAACCTACTACTGTACAAGCATCTACAATACAACTACAGTATACAACAGTAACCTTCTGTCCTCTTTTTTTTTATTTTTTTTAGAATAAAATGAATTTCAGCATGGCATTCTCCATATAATACATATAATAACTGTCCTCTTCTTGTAAAGACATTTCTATCCAAAAGTGTTTTTATTTCAAATTGCGGTGTATGGATCTGAAAAGCCTTCTTTGCTGTGTGCTCAAGTGTCGGTATCTGGACCATCGGCACCATCTACTGGCCACGTTTAGGAACGACACCTTCATTCCCTTTGGTACCCTTGGATGCTGTTATGCTCTGTGATTTTGTCTCAAGCTAACAGAGGATGACAGCCTGCAGTTTAACCCCAGGGAAAAGTGCCTTTTCATGGTGCACTTTCCAGCCGAATCACACATTCATCTGATGGAGATTAATATTTAACGTCTTCTATATATGTAACAAAATATCAACTAGACTGAGAAAATGTAAAGTGCATTAAAAATTACAGAGCCTTTTTTTTTTTTTTTTTAATAAACTTGTCAAATAGGCACATCAGTGGTTTAAAAAATACTGTTTAACTAGTCTACAGCCAATCTAGTAATGGTTTTGATGGCTGGCAGAACTACTGACAGGTTGGCATGCATTAGGAGTGCAAATCAGACATGTGCCCAGGCAAATCAGGTAGTCCAGTACAGGCGAGCTGGCTATTAATCCAAGCAGCAACACTATTTTAGAAGTGACCGAGATAAAAGGTAACTATATAAATGAAAGCGTACACAAGCCATGCATATCCATCAGGGTTCTATGAAACACCTGCAATTATATACTGCTGTGTTACCACCAATGACAGTTGTAGGATTGGTAGAGTTTACCAATGGTTCTAATCTTAACACCAAACCTCACAGTCAATTATATTGCTAATGCCTGGCTTTGTAACTCAAACCCAATAAAGACAGTAGAATCACTCTGAACAATGTTCTCCACCCACTATGACATGGCACAGCCTAAACCAATCCCAGCATTCTCTGGTTGGAAAACTAGGATTAGCAACAGAACAGCAGCTTTGCCCTCATCTGCGTCGCATCTATCCCAGTTTATCTTGGGTTATCACAAGATTTCTACAAAGGACACATCTTTGAAATGGCCACCCGCAGGTTTCAAGCAGGACTACTTATTTCATTCATATCCACAAGCTACCTGTTACAGCACTTTGTTGATCATATACATACAGATGTTACAACAATCGCATCTGAACCCCATGTATCAGAAGTCTGATGTTTGCGCCCACCCTAAAGGTGACCATAGACAAAAAGATATTGGTCGGCTGAAATGCACATTTTGGGCGATAACGTTCACACAGCATAACAGTCATGGTCCACAAAACAACAGTATAGGCTATAAATAGAACCACTCAAGAGTAAAAATGATTGGTTATATAATTTAGACAATCGTACAAGTCTGTCTCTATGTCTATTGTTGGACAAAATGTAAAGAACAGTCGTAGCATTGATCACGCATGCCTTCATCATCAAGGGCCTACACCAATGGCATAAGGCCCAGATCATGTACAAGGAACAATATCTTGCACTTCAACATTCCTTCCAAATTACCTTTACTTTCTTTCTTCTACTGCTGAAATATACTTTGTGAAGGCAGTGAGGCATAAACGGTTTGATGGAACCACTTCGCAAAGTAAAACATGAAAATATTGAGCAACGATATTGGATATCTTGGTAGCAAAATTGTTCTTGTAACTATTGAAATGAACAATATGTTTTTTCCTAAACCGGTGACAGATATCACATCTCCATGGGCAATTTTAGGGCTGTTCCATCGTTGGATTAAAAAGCCTCATAGGCCATAACCGTGTTGTAATATGCTCTGGTCATGGCACAATTAACCAGCCCAGCATGGGCCCTGGATGGCGCATGTCGCTGCGAGGCCTAAAGCCCGTACAGCCTGGGCAGATTTGTCATACAGATTTAATCCAGCTCAGTGGGACGGCGATGGCTCCACGCATTACATGGTCTGTTGAAAGCATTACATTTGCTCCCCCCCCCCCCCCTTGATACCCTCACTATAAATAATACACCTGTGCTATTTTAAAAGTGGCATTGTCTGTCCCTTTGTGCGCAAGTTTTGATTAGCATACATTATTCAGGAGCTTGGCTTCCTCTGGGAGCTCCCAGGAATGTGGATCTGTCATTTCTAGGGGGGTGTGAGGGGTGATTATCCATACAGTGAAAAAAAAAAACCCCGTCCTTGTATAAACAGAATGAGGAAACCATGTGCTTCAGTCATATGTGCAGTCGGCTAAATCTGGCTGAACGCGGTGCATGCACACTCCTTAATGGTCAACCTTGGGGCAGATTCTATAGTCCTGCTGTCACTCTGTGGGACCCGTGTATGCGTCTCTGGTTTAAAGATTTTCAAAAAGAGATAATGAGACACTCCAGCGTGGCTCTAGCAATGCCCTAAAGGCCAGTCGCAGCGTCGAAGGGGTTAGCCAGAGCTATTAAAATTTAATCTGTTCTACATCTAATACATCTCTTCTTCTGCTTCGCCTGAGCCGAGTGCATAGATGAGGCGCCAGTGCAGCGTGGCTGTACAGCGCCCACAGTGGAGAGTTAAATGCCTGCAGCCACAGAGCGATATTAGAGGCAGATTGTAGTCCTAGGAGCTCAGTCTGCAACCAGACTGTGAGCTATGAGGGTTTACCAGTGGGTGGAAATGAACACTGTATCATCTCTCAATATTGGTTTATTGGGTAGAGCAGGGCAAAGAGCAAGTGATGATTTGCAGGATGCAGTAACCCACAGCAACCAGATTTCAATTGATTAACAAAACTGTGTTCTTCCCCAACACTAAGTCAGCAGGAGTAACCTAAAAATCAGTAACAATTAATGCATGCATGTAAAAAATCACATAACAATCCCAAGTTCTGGCTTATCTTTCATAGTTTGTGTAAATTTGGCACTGCCTCCTAATAAAGACTGGAACCCTAGATTACCAATTCTTCATCCATAAATTAAAGCCATTTCTTGGTTGCAGATTTGATTGAATGCATGCAAAAAAAACAGCCAACAATAGAATAGAAGTGCTACAACTAAATATCAGCCAGTTTAGCCACCTTGCAGAGCTCATCAATGCAAGATATGGGTGTCTACAGGTTTTGCTTGGAGACCTATGGTCCACTTCACTAAAAACCCAAAATGCTGAAATACATAAAAGCGTGGGCAAGATAGGAGCACACGCCTTATGATGCCTGCTGCCAACCTTTACGTTAACCATAGACAAAGGCTACCAGCTACAATGTACAACTCAGAAAGAATCAGGTTTCCTGTACAGGTCGAGATGTCATCCCAATCCCAGCGTAGCAAATGCAAATGTTTCATCCCCTGCATACACAGATCTGGTCTGCCTGCAATTTTAGGGATGTTTAGCTCTTCTACATACCCCCTAGGATACCCTACAAAAAAATGGCAAGGAAGAAAAAGTTCAGTGAAAAAACTGCTGCTGATTGATGGAGAGGGACGGGCCCGGCCACCTCCCTGTAGGTAGCTACTGTCAGACTTTCAACACCTCCACATTATTAACTCTTGGCAGGCGCGAGCTCCTCTGCAGGGGCGGCAGCAGCGCAGGTCCCCAAAGGAGGCAGAGCTATGCGCTCTATTTGCCACAAGCCTGCTAGGCTGTAACAACTTCTTTAAATATTTCATATCATTGACTCATGCTGGAGTGAGATCACTCCTCCGCCGCCAGCGCCAGGTATAATGTAAAATGTGCTTCCATTACCCTGGAACGACCCGAAGGATGTTTCATTAACATGATGACATGCGCAGAGGACTAAGAGCCCCCCGGATTCCCTCTGCTTCGGCATGCTGGCACTTGCAGCCCCACAGCCACACCTTAGAACAGACCACTGAGCTGCCGGTGACCGAAATGCCCTGGTACAATGCTGGGACTTGTAGCTCCACAACCCTGCCTTTAATAATTGACCATCTGTACAAAATGTGTGTTATAACAGGAGACTCAACTTATCATAGTGGGTGGTCTTAAACAGTTAAAAAGCAAATGCAGCCAAAATCTTTCATTTGAAAGTCACAGCCATTGTTGCAGAATGCTAGCCAGGTGTCTGTCCCAGCAGGTTACCTCCGGTCTATTATGAACTGATAATAAACTCTAAACACCTTATAGATTCATCCTTTGTCAGCATTAGCACTTAAGACTCCAAACCCTTTTGTTAAAGCAACATTGCAGGCAAAAAAAAAAAAAAAAACCTCTGCTTGATGAGGTCACAGTGCAATAGAACAGATATTTAAACTTGGCATTCAATCTTTTAAAATAATGAACATGTTTCCAATGACACAATCATTAACGCATGGTGTGTACAATGCAGCAGGTGCTCCAGCATTAAAAAAAAAAAGAGAGAGAGGCACAGAGCACATGCGGAGAAGCTGCCACCAGCAATATCAAATGGGGAACCGAGAGCCTCATGAGCATCCTGAGCCACTGGTGTCAGCTGAGGCTCTTAGAGCAGCGCTGCGCTGTCCGTGGTGCTGAAACCCCAACGCGCCGACTTCTCCCAACCAAGCGTAAGTTACAGGTTGCTGCAAGAATAGAAAGACAAGTACAAAAGTCCGGGGACTCACCTTTCCTCTCCTCCTCAGCAGGTGGCTGGTAAACCCAAAAATGATCTCGGAGTCCAAGCACAGAGCCCCCAGCTCCAGCAGGCTGGGGTTCTTCCTCTCCGGGACGCCCGATTCTGGGGAATTGTCGCAAGCCATAGTTGGGTAGGGTGAGCCGGATCCAGCTCACTACAGGAACGCGCTTATCCCTTCATCCTGGCGATGCTGCGCTACGAGCCGGCGTTGTGTTCTGTCCAATGCAGAAGAAATACAGAAAAAAGAAAAAAAAAATCCAAAGCGCACCTATGTGAGGGAGCTCAGTATGCGCACCACTCCCCTCAGTGTCCCATCATGATACTGACTGGAGCCCCCCTCATCCATCAGCAGTAAGAGCGGCGAGGACGAGCGAATGCCATCTCTCCGTGTGATCTTCCCATCATCATCAACTCATGGCAGCGCGCACCGACGCTACCTCTACAGCAGCGCTCCGCTCCTTGCATAGAGGACGCATGCCATGCGCTGGAGGAATCATTGGTGGGCTGGGGTTGTTAGCACTAGGAGTAGGGATGAGAGATGGCTGAGCTGGGTTGGGTTACAGTAGCTCTGGCTGGGATGAGCCTGTGCTGTTCATGTCTTCCCTGCATAGTGTGCCTTGCTCACTGATGTGCTGGGACTCCCACACTCAGGACTGCTGGCTGGTAATTGCAGGCTGTCAGCTCTCAGCTGAAGAGCCAATCCCGGTGGGGCTGTCCTCGGACCGTGACGTCACACCAGCAGCTACCACCGTGGTAGAGACCCCTACTGGCTGAGCCCCATCTACATTATGAGCGCAGCACTTTCACTGGGAGGCATCAGTCACCTCTGCTGGTGCGATCAGTCCATTGACACCTTCATCTCTGCAAACTGGGGAATAATGGGAAGCCTGTTTGCAGCATCGCTGGCAGAAGTAGCTGATACTTTTTTCAAGGGGCAAATCCCCCCTGCAAGCTTAGTTGTGGGTGCATTTCCCCCCTGCATGCCTGCAGGGGGGGCAACTCCGCCCACAACTAAGCTTGCAGGGGGAAAATGCCCCCACAACTAAGCTTGCAGGGGGAAAATGCCCCCACAACTAAGCTTGCAAGGGGCAACTCCACCCACAACTAAGCTTTCAGGGGGCAAATCCACCCACAACTAAGCTTACAGGGGGCAAATCCACCCACAACTAAGCTTGCAGGGGACAAATCCACCCACAACTAAGCTTGCAGGGGGCAAATCCCCCCACAACTAAGCTCGCAGCGGGCAAATCCACCCACAACTAAGCTTGCAGGGGGCAAATCCACCCACAACTAAGCGTGCAGGAGCAAATCCACCACAATTAAGCTTGCAGGGGGCAAATCCACCCAAAATTAAGCTTGCAGGGGGCAAATCCACCCAAAACTAAGCTTGCAGGGTTCAAATCCATACAAAACTAAGCTTGCCGTTTTGGATGGCTGCGAGCAAATGAATCATTAAATGCATTATTCCTTTTAGAAGACTCTAGGGACTCCAGCAGCTTGTAACTCCCTGCGGTGCCCTCCCTGCCACAGAGTCTCACTCCTGTTGCATAACAGAAGGTCAGTCAATAAAGAAAAAACACGTTGTGTAAAAAATGATTTATTAATACCAGTCTGCATTCATTATATACAGGTGAAACTCGAATAATTAGAATATCGTGCAAAAGTAATTGCAGTAAGTGCTGCAAAAGGGGCCCAAACCAAGTACTGAGTACATATGCATGCTTGTACTTTTCAGAGGTCCGATATTGTTCTATGTACAATCCTTGTTTTATTGATTGCATGTAATAATCTACTTTTTTGAGGTTGTGGATTTGGGGTTCTTGGGGTTTCCATGAGCTGTAAGCCATAATCATCACAATTATGACAAATCACGGCTTGAATTATCTTGCTTTGCATGTAATGAGTCTATCTCATATATTAGTTTCACCTTTTAAGTTGCATTAATGAAATAAATGAACTTTGCACGATATTCTAATTATTCGAGTTTCACCTGTACCTGCCTGAAATCCAGTGTTAATGTTTTCCTTGGACACAAATGAGTCCAGTTTGCAGGGGAATTTTTTTTAGCTTAGAGAATGAGGTGGAGCTCTGCTGACTTTCATCGTCCAATCATGTGCAAGTAAAAATACTTTTTTGTTGAATTTGTTCTTGCACATGATTGGATATAGTTTGCTTAAGGAATCTACACCACGGGTATTACTGCAACGCATGTTATGTGCGTTAATGCATGGCGATGCCAATAATTTTTTTGGCACCCCAATCCATTAAAGCAACAGAACTCCAACACACATGTATTGCATCACCAAGAATGGTAACCTACTGCACACTGCAGTGCAGAGTGCCGCGGCAGAAGATCTGCCGTGTGCCAGTTTTTGGTCTGCTCCTCTGCATGACGGGCGATTCAAAATGAAGGGGCTACCTTAGCACAAGCACACTAAAGCAAAACACAATGGCTGTATAAAAACTATCCTTGCAGTGGGAGCTGCCCGTTTTTGTCTCTGGTTATTGAGTATAGGACTTTTACGTACCTGATTCCCAATCGCACAGGCTCCAGGACTGGCACCTACAGCCTTTTCCCCTATACGTTCCTGCGGTCGTAGATCCATGGACCTCATCACTAGGGTTGGGCTCGATGTTCGTGTGTTCACTAGTTCATGTGTTCACCGAACATACAAACTATCAGGACGTTCAGCGGGCTGTTCGCCTGCTGAGCTCCCCAAAAGGCAATTCGCCTTCTGAAGACTTTGCCCAATCAGGGCACAGAGAACTGTGAGAGCCATGATTGGGCAAAGTCATGATGGCTCTGCCCAATCATGGCTCACCTGTTACAAACTGTAAACAGTTGGGCGGAGCAAGCCGTGACTGATAGCTCCGCCCAACTGTTTATAAGTTGCCGGCATCTGTCAAAATGCCATTCTGCGGGTGCTCGTCGCAGCACCCGCAGAAGTCGTCGTGGACAACGCTGGACTTCGTGATTGACCCTGGATTACGTCGATAGATCAATTTTTTGATCGCCCCACTGCAAGGGTAGTTTTTCTCCCCCAGAGATAGGCTATAATGTCTATATGGTATACATAACTGTATGTATGGAACTGTATTAATAGGTGTATTTTTATATCTGCCTGTAGTTCAATGTTAAGATAAAAGACTATTATTATAGTCTAATAAAATTATCTGTAGGACTGAAATTTTATGGCTGTTTTCAGTCACTTGAACTATTTTTTTTGCATACCAATTTTGACGTCTTAAAGGAAACCTGTACTGAGACAGATATGGGGGCTGCCATTCCTGAAAATGCTATTTGGCTGGCAGTCTCAGGTTTCAATACTTGGTGTCACTCACTTGGAGTGAGTACACCGCCATTGAAGTCAGAACTGCTGATCTACAAACAGCTGTGTGAAGTTGGCACCCCATGTTTGTAAAACCTGAATTAAAATATACCATTCGTTTGTGCTGATTTGTGCCGCAAAAACCAGCGTTTGTGCCGGTTCGGTTTCTGAGATATTAAACATTCAATTTAATGCAAGCCCCGCCCACTTTGCACCCCATGTTGCTGAATTTTAAAAAGACGCCATTTGTTTGTGCCGCAAAAATAAACGTTTGTGCCGCTTTGGTGTCGGAGATATGGTGCGTTATAGTTGCTGCAACCCCGCCCACTTTGCACCCCATGTTGCTGAATTTTTAAAACAAAGACGCCATTCGTTTGTGCCGCATTTGTGCTGGTTTGTGTCGCAAAAATAAACGTTTGTGCCGCTTTGGTTTCAGAGATAGGGTGCGTTATATGTTGCCAAACCACACTGACTTTACACCTCGTTATTAAATCTTACATACTAGATTTATTTGTGCCCGGTTTGTGCAGATTTGGTGGATATTGTACATGATGTTTTACTTCACATGCGTAGTTTTGCCACCCCCCCCCCTTCCCGATCCTCTGCCTGGAGGGATGCGCCCCCCACCC